GGGGGGGAGTACGAGGAGATGAGGATCAAGGCGAAAGAGATTGGGGCGGCGGCGCATAGGGCGGTGGAGGAGGGAGGGAGCAGCTTCGAGGACGTGACGGCGTTGATTGAGGAGCTGAAGGCTCGCCGGAGCAACAAAGAGTGAGGTTACTTGCGGACGCATTTAGTAGATGATGGCCTTCGAAGTTGTTGTCTGATTGTGTCGCCTTGGAATTGATTGCATGTAGCTTGTTACGCGTAGGGTTGTATCTGGTCTCCGGAGCATGTCTGTTTTAATTATTTGAAAAGAGAATAAAATGAATGATTTACAGGAAATTAGAAAAACACAGAATAAATATTTTCAAAATGCGAAGAGTGGCGAATTAAGATGAGATGATGGGGAAAAAAAAAGACTATTAATATTGAATATTAGAGCCCGTAGAATTTGCTAAAGTGACGAAAATATGCAACAAAGTTTTTACTGGGAATGTAATGAATATACGAATGGCTGGTATGGTTAATTGCACTTGAATACCCAAAATTCTTACCTTTTCCTGCTTAGATGCGATGAAACTCTATTTTGACAACTTGAGACCCAAGTTTTGCAAATTGACTTTAATTTGATATGCCAAAGCGCGCGCTAACTTTGTTCGTTCAGTCAAACTCAAAACATGAAAAATTTGGTAGGCAAGTATGTCTCTTATTCACCTTTTCTAGCGTTGGGCACTTTGGATATGCTATTGTCAAAATAGAACATTAAAAAGTTATTAAAAAAATGTTTAGTCTTGGGTATTAAAGTGCGAATAACCCTAAATAATTGTCAAGCTTTATAATATTTAGTCACTTTCGTAAACTTTTGATGGTATTTCTTACTTCAGTAAATTTTAAATACTAGTGTAAGAGACAAATCAACAAGCAATCGCTATTATTTTTTTAAAATTACAAACCGTAATTTGCAAAAGACATTTAAAACTGTATATCACTTCAAGTGAGCTTTTCCGCAAAGTGGTCTATAGTCCATTCAACCATAAATCACTTCCGCAAGTTTTACATTCACATTTTTGCAAGATGCACTGGTAATTTTCTGCACTGCAAAAGCTCGAATATGATTTCTAGCCAAAGAAAAAACTCAACAATTTCTTAGAAGTCCCATAAAAAGAATTTTCTATGTCGACGAAGTAGCAAGGGAAAAAAGTTCAAATGTTTGGTTGTGGCTATGTTCAATTTAAAAGACAATGATTGGGTGTTTTTGCGAAAATTGAGGATTTATGACTTAAAAAATGAAGGAAAATTGTGTTAATTCCCCAATTTTAAGAACCCCATGTGATCAGTATTTTTAATCTTTTTTCTCAAGTGTTTCAGCCCCCAAAATCCAAAAAAATATGATTCAATCGTTATTCACTGCCAACTAAGCATAGAGAGAAATAAAAACAAAAAAAAACCCAAAATGCCTTTATTTCCTCCTCTTTTTTCTCGAGATATAATCTTCATGGCTCCTCCTTCCTCCTCTCCTTTCCTCCTCTCTCCTAACTCATCTCCTTCCTACTCTCTCCATCTTCCTCCTTTTTCTCTCAGACACCGACATTCCCCTCCGCCGCCACCGATTTTGGGTGCACGCTCCGGTCATGTTGTCTCATTCTTCGGCATTGGCCTCTGCCACTACTAACCTCGAGCGCACCCTCCTTCCTCCTCTCTTTTCTCTCCAGATCTAATCTTCATGACTCCTCCTTCCTCCTCTCCTCTCCTCTCCTCTCCTAACACATCTCCTTCCTCCTCTCTCTCTCTCTCTCTCTCTCTCTCTCTCTCTCTCTCGCCTCTCTCTCTCTCTCTCTCTCTTCCTCCTTTTTCTCTCAAACATCGACATCCCCCTCCACCACCACCAACTTTAAGTGCATGCTCTGGGCATATTGTTTCCTTCTTTGGTCTCGCCCTCCACCACTTTGGGTGCAAGTTTCACAAGAACTATAAGCTATCGGTTTTCTTTAAAGAAATTTATAATTTCTGTTTGATCATCGTGAAAAAATAAAAATCTAAAAAAATATCGACTAAATGTGATTTTTATTTGATAAGTTTTGATGTTAAGTCAAGTCCAAGGTGAAATGTTAAGTCTAATGAGTTGAAAGTGAAGTCTAAGGGCTTGTACGTTAAGTTTATTAGGTTGAATAATAAGTCCAAGGGCTTGTATGTTAACTCTATTAAGCTAAATAATAAGTCTAAAGGTGAAATGTTTAGTGTAATGGATTATATGTTGTCTAATTTATTGAATGTGATGTATAAATTGTTACATATTAAGTCTAATGCGTTGTTTATCAAGTCTAATCGGCGTGATGTTGATTCTAATTAATTGAATGTTAAGTCTATAGAGTTGGAGGTGAAGTTCAATTGTTTGTATGTTAAATCTATTGGGTTGAATAATAAGTCTAAATGTGAAATGTTAAGTGTAATTGATTATATGTTAAGTCTAATTTATTAAATATTAAATATAATTTGTTACATATTAAGTCTAATGCATTGTACGTTAAGTCTAATTGGTATGATGTTAATTCTAATTGGTTGTTAAGTCTATAGAGTTGAACATTAAGTCTAATCGGTTAAAGGTTAAACCTAATTGGAAAATATTTTTTATCTAATGAAAAACATGTTATTTGTAATGAAAATAATATTAAGTCTGAACTTTCCCATGTTAATTCTAGTGAGAGAAATGTCAAGTCTAATTTGTTGAATTTTAATTCTAATTAATGTCAAGTCTAATAAAGGGCATTTTTAAGTTTAATCGGAAGGTTGTTAGGTCTAATCTATTGAATGTTAAGTCTCGTTTGTAAACTCAAATTAGTTCAATGTTAAATCTATTGGGTTGAATAATAAGTCCAAGGGCTTGTATGTTAAGTCTATTAGGTTAAATAATAAGTCTAAAGGCGGAATGTTAAGTGTAATGTATTATATGTTAAGTCTAATTTGTTGTATGTTAAGTGTAATTTATTACATGTTAAGTCTAATGTGTTGTATGTTAAGTCTAATTGGCATGATGTTAATTCTAATAAAGGTGTTTTGAGGTTTTTTATTTTTTTTCTCTCTCTTTATACTTAGTTGGCAAGAAATAAACTTAATATTCAATTCTATAGGCTTAACATTCAACCAATTAGAATTAACATCACACTAATTAGACTTAACATACAACGCATTAGACTTAATATGTAACACATTATATATAATATTTAATAAAGTATACTTAACATGTAATCCATTACACTTAACATTTCATATTTAGACTTATTATTCAACCCAATAGATTTAACATACAAAACTTTGGATTTATTATTCAACCCAATATACTTAACATCGAACCAATTTGAGTTAACAAACGCGACTTAACATTCAATATATTAGACTTGATAATTTTCCGATTAGACCTAACATTTAACTTATTAGAAGAATTACACTTAACATTGAACTTATTTGACTTGATATTCCTCTAATTAGAATTAACATCACGCCAATTACACTTAACATACAATGCATTAAACTTAACATGTAATAAATTACACTTAACATTCAATAAATTAGACTTAATATATAATCTGTTACACTTAACATTCCACCTTTAGACTTATTATTTAACACAATAAAGATAACATACAAGCCATTGGACTTATTATTCAACCCAAGAGACTTAATATACAAGTCCTTTGACTTCATTTTAACTTATTAGACTTAACATTTGACATTGGACTTAAACTTAACATTAAAAATTATCAAACAAAAATCATATTTAAACGGTGTTTCTTTAAATTTTTATCTTTTCACAATGTTCAAAATAAATTATAAATTTCTTTAAAAGAAACCGATAGCTTATAGGTCTTGTGGAACTTGCACCCAAGGTGGCGGAGGGCGAGGCCGAAGAAGGAGACAACATGGCCATAACGTGCGCCCAATGTCGATGGTGACGAAAGAGGATGTCGTTGTTTGAGAGAAAAATGAGGAAGATGGAGAGAGGATGAAGGAGATGGGTTAGGAGAGAGGATGAGAGGAGAGAAGAAGAGGAAAGAGAAGTAATGGAGATTAAATCTGGAGAGGAGAGGGGAGGAAGGAGGTTATGCTCGACGTTGGTGGTGGCGAAGGGCGAGGTCGAAGAAGAAAATAACATGGCCGGCGCGTGCATCCTAAGTCGATGGTGGCGGAGGGAGATGTCGATGTCTGAGAAAAAAAGGAGGAAGAGTGAGAGAGGAGGAAGGAAATGGGTTATGAGAAAGAAGAGGAAAGAAGAAAAAAGGAGTCAAGGAAAATAGATCTGCAGAGAAGAGAGGAGAAAATAAGAACATTTTTGAAATTTTTTTATTTCACTCTCTATATTTAGTTAGCAAGGAACAATGGTTGAATCACATTTCTTTTTTGGGTTTTGAGTGCCAGAACACATGGGTAAAATATTAAAGGAGCTGGTTACATGGAGTTGTTAAAATGAATAGTAGAATCCCCCATTTTCTTTTTTTTCCTTTTGCCATAAATCACCCGAAAAGAGTCATTAACCTCACAGTTTGAAAATCGACCAATTTTCCACTTCAAATTGTGGCTTCAATAATGCGTAGTAATTTGTTGGAGCGCGCACAAGGGACCAGTTAATATTTTATTGGAGCGATGCATATTTTTGTTACTATGTGCAGACGACAGAGTGGCTCACCATTCGTCATGTACTCTTCATCATGTGTTATTATTTTAATGAAGCGTGGAGGAGCACGGCTGAAAGGTTTTCAATCCAATTTTTTTTTTTTTTTACTGAAGGCAGTCTATTTCGAGATCACTGCAGTAATAATTGGATAACTGCAGTAAACCTTCAAGTTCACTTTATTTTAGGATGATTGACATCAGATCCTCGTGCAATTTGATCCCTGTTGAGGGGCATAGCGACTAGCGAGGATAATAAGCATAGTTGCGCATATGCAGCGATAGTATTCCAACTAATACCTGTAAAATTAAGCTTTTCATAGGTTGATCTGAAATAATTAGAGACTTGTAAGCAAATCTACCATCATCAAACTTTCTCTTGGCGTTGTTATCCTGAGAAGAGAGCAAACAGAACTCTTACATTTTGTTCATGTTATGCAATTACCCGTATACACATCATTGTGAAATCTTCCCTACAAATTCTTTGTAGATGATACTCTTCTAACCATACAGAGAACATGCCACTAGAAAAGAAGCAAGGATGTATGATTGCATGGAACATAAACTCTTAAGAGAATAAAGAGGCAAGGCACACGACATGCTCAGTCATACCCTTGAAAAATGCTTAAATTGGGCAAACACTCCTGCAGTATCGCCTCACAGAACTTAATGCCTTATGCCCCGTTTGGCAAAGGGTTAAGTAAAATGGATTAAAAAATTAAGATAATTAGCTCATTCGATAAGTTCAGACTAAATTATTAACATGTTAAATAAGTTTTATTTTAGGCATTATGATCAATCTTAGTGTTTCGGAATAATATGAATTTTGACTGTCTTCTTTATAAATAGATGGGTAAATTCTTAATCCTTCTAATGAGAGTATTAACAAACTCTCATTTTGAGGGATAAACTCATTTTAATCACTCCAATGGGTACCTTAACACTAATACATTTTTCGAGTTTGACAAATTAGGAAGAATTATAACTCACTTTAACCTTTGTATAGATTTGTGTTTGGCGGGTTAAAAAAGGGTTAAATCTCCCTAACCTCTTACTTAACCCGTTGTCAAACGGTATCTTAGAGTTCAATTTTGACAGATACATCCATCCCTAGGTGATTTTCCTTTTAACTCTTTTACCCCTGGTGAATCTTTGGTAGTATTACTGTCTATTTTAGAATAAAAGAGAGAGAGACAACCAAGAGGTTCATCTGCCAAAATGAAACTGAAGCGGTAGTAGTAAGTTTCAAAAGCGCCCTGTATTATCTGCAATTAACCCAAAATGTTACTGAGATGGTAACAAGATCCCCATGACGATGGGGTGCTTTGCACAAGTTACTACCAAAATAGAGGAGGAGAAGAGAATGTACAAAAAAAACTAAACATGCATATACAAAATTAATTGTTAACAGCTTGAAGGCATGAACAACATAGTTTTAAACAAAAAAGACAAACAAAATAAATCAGCCAACCATAAAAATTCACCAATGGGAAAAAGTCCGTAATCAAACTTTCTCGCAATAAATGTAGGGTTGAGGCATTTGCAAGTGTAAATTTAATTATGAAGATAACTAGAAAAAGTTAATTGGGCTTCTTAACAGAAATTTAGTCACCGGGTGTTCACCATTAACATAACAACAACGTAAATGGTTTTTGGCAACACCAGGAGACAATTTATTATCGGCAACAGGGAAAAAGAGGAAACCAAGAAGGAAAATGGTTACCTCGGCAAAGCTGCCCCTTAAATTCCAAATATAACTTTAAAAGAAGATTTAATTCCTATTTGATTAGCAGGTATGCACATGAATTCGTACACCACCTTCACATAAAACTACATCCCAAACAAAATGGTGATGATATTAGGGGCTGTTTGGTTGAGTGGTTCTATAGTAAACTTTATAGAAAATAATTGATATTGACAGTTTTATAAATAAAAATTTTATGGAGATTTCTATTAAATGTGTTTGGTTCAAAAAAATTTTACAAGCTTTCTATAAAATAGAGAAAAGTACCTCATTTTATAGAAATCAATTTTCGCTCAAAATTAGCTAAAGCATATATATTAAAAAAATAATTAAGTACATTATACTATTCTCATGGGCATTGTTAATAAACTATTTTCTATAAAGTAATTTCCAATCAAACAAAAGGAAAAAAAAACAACATATTTTCTATAAGGTTGAAAATTTTTTCATACTTTAAACAAAACAAAGAAATATCAAAAAATAAGAAATGATACTCTTTTGAGTTCTATAAATTTAATTTCATAGAAATACAAGGAAATCAAATTTTGAGTAGTTTTCTTTTTCCAAATTGAACCAAACAGCCCCTTAGCATTGGCATTTCGTTAGTTCATTGTCAACTGAAAGCCCACACCCAATAGAAAAACAGTTGCCCTGTATCTTGTAGACACAAGAGCAAATCGTTGTCAACTGAAAGCCCACACCCAATAGAAAAACAGTTGCCCTGTATCTTGTAGACACAAGAGCAAATCTAGGTGGGTCGCAATAAAAAACGTTGAAGAAAAACAGTTGCCCTGTATCTTGTAGACACAAGAGCAAATCTAGGTGGGTCGCAATAAAAAACGTTGATTTTCAGAGCATTAAAGTTATGATGATCGATTCCGCTCAGCATGAAATTCTCCAGATCAAAGAATCCTAGGAATTATAGTTTCATATTTTGACGTTCAAAACAAGCACATAAAAAGCATGAAACCATAACAACAAAGCTACATCCAAATAAGCAATGGACCAGAATCCTCTCATAACAGAAAATGTAGGCACAAGGTGCTCCCCGTTAACCTAATGATAAAAGGTAAATTGGAAACGGAACACCAAGCAACCGCTTAATTTTGGCAACAGGGAAAAAGAGGAGACCAGGGAATGAAAATGGTCGCCTCGGCAAAGCTGCCTTTCGAAATAAGTTGAGAGAATTATTTTTTTATTTATTTTTTTGGCAAAATCTTAACGAATGCTAGAGATTGGTGTTCATTGAGAGCTATTTCATCATGAGAAAATTAAGCTCAAAGTTTCGCAAAGGAGGGGGAAAATATCACCTTGAGAATGCTCGATTCCAGAGTTTGCGGCTGGGAGACTTGAGGAAACAGAGCTAAGTGGTGGCTAGCTTTTATAGTCGGGATCGCAGGAGAACCCTAACAAGGGCTACACATATGGGCCAGAATAGATTCGGGATTTCGGGCCCATGTTTTGAGTTGGACCTAAATATTTCAATAAGGGGCTGTTTGTTTGCCTAAAAAAAGTGGGAAATTAAAGAATAGGAAATCAAAGAATAGGAAAACTTGTATTATGGTTGTTTGGTTGGCTAATGAAAGAAGGAAATCAAAGAATAGGAGATGAGATGAGATAAGTTGTCACCATATTATTGGATGATATGAGTGATTTTTTAAGAAAACTAGTTTTGAGGTTGTTTGGTTGGTTAAAAAAATAAGGAAATGTATTATAATAAACATATTTCCTATAATAGTTTTTAAAGTCAAATGAAAGTGAATAATGTGGACATGAACCCGGCAAGAAAATTGAAGGTGCAACCTTTTAGGGGCTGTTTGGTTGTTGTTCGTAAAGTTGTGTATTTATGACATAACTTGGGAAGTTGTTATCCACCTCATTAATTTCACTTTTATACTTTTCTTTGTTTGTTTTTTATTACATTGTGTATTCCTCGTCAGCTTCTTCTTCCATGAGGAGCGTAGCTATTTCGTTGTTATGAGACATATATGATATTGGAAAAATGATGCTAACAATGAACACAAATTGAGTTGAGTGAAAAGTGAGAGTGCATATGATATTATTTATAGAGGTCATATAGCTGTTATGATATAGCCGTTGAAATATAGCTGCTACAATATAGTCGTTGGAATATAGCCGTTATAATATAGCCGTTACAATTATTTATTACAAAAGAAGGTAAGTGAAAAATGTCCAAAACTATTTAGAGAGACATTTAGGGAGCATTGTTAGAGCACTTGCTCCTTATGTGGCTCCTTATTTCCTAGGATGCGATATTTGCTCCTCAAATATAGGGACAAGCTAAGATCATTGTTGGAGATGCTCTAAATGCCAATTTACCTCGCCACTTATTTCTGTAAACGGAACAGTGTGAATTAGTGAACCAAACAAGGAGATTCACACAACATCAAAATAGATCTTGTTCATTTTGCAAATCTCCGAGGATATAGTCTAAAGGCCCTTAAGTTTTATCTCTCTGTTTTAAGAAGACCCTAACTTTCTAATTTTGACCCTGCTAAATTGTACTCATCTTTTTTAAGAAGCTCCGAACTTTTTATTTTTGACAAACACGTCCCTAAGTTCTACCCTCTATTCTAAAAGCCTCCGACTTTCTTTTTAAGGCTTCCTAGAAGTGAAGGGTAAATTTTAAGGGTTTCTTAGTAGGAAATGGTAAAACTTGGGGGTTTTATTATCAAAAATAGAAATCTAGAGGCTTCCTAGAAAATAGGGGAAAACTTGGAGGCTTTTCTATAAAAAAAAATAGAAACTTAGGAGCTTTTTACAAAAATGGAGTAAAACTTCGGAGTTCTTTAGACTATCTACTCGCAAGTCCCGGAACCTGAATTGTTCTTTCTTTTATAGTAAAGTTTCCATCTCTCATAACATTTTCTATCTTTCCAGTGATATTGGAGTCCAACTTAAACACATGGTATGAGCAACGCCAGTTCAGTATTGCTAGAGAAAGCAACGGGCTAGTAATCATAAACCAAATATATGATCGTACCAAACAAACAAACTTTTTTAAGTTTAAGAAAATTAATAACACAAGGCTACATATTTATACTGCTGAATTTACATGGAGCTTAAGAAAATTAATAGCACACGGCTACATAATTATACAAATAACACGGCGCAGTCAGAATTCGGAACTTGAGTACAGATGTACACCGATAACAGCTTTATTTCATTGTTGCGCTATTCACCATTGATTACCATGCTTCGTCGCACCAACAATCACAGCAACCGCAGCAACAACAGCCTGTTTGTACAAATAACAACCTTTTTAGAAGACAGAATAATTTACAGTGATCTTTATCACATCTCTTTCTTAAAATGAGGAATTTGGCATCACAAGGTAAAAGGATGAATCATTCTTGAAAATTTTGAAATCTCCACGCCATAGATTATCATTTAGAAGTCTGATCTCATGCAAACGCATCATTCTTGAAAATTTTGAAATCTCCACGCCATAGATTATCATTTAGAAGTCTGATCTCATGCAAACGCTTCAAAATACGATTCTTCATGTAGCTGATGCTGATCCTAGTTTTTAAAGTCAAATGAAAGTGAATAATGTGGACATGTAGCTGATGCAAGAAAATTGAAGGTGCAAACTTTTAGTGGACTATATGAAGAATTGCTACTTACAGCAATTGTGCAGGCGGCAAACCCAGGCTTCTCCCTGTAATCTACTCTGACACAAAGTAGAATGAAGGCTCCAACATACCAGGGAATGGCAGCAAGAAAGAAACCAATAATAAACCTATTCCAAAGACAACAAATGACGAAAAATTACTGAGCATCATAAATCAGAGAATTTTAGAAATAGATACGAACAAGGAAAAGAGGCTTCTTTGTAGCTAACACTTACAGAAACCAGCCAATACCCAAGCCACAACAAGGAAGGCGTTGCATCCTTACGGTCAAAGGTCTTCCTTCAGCGACTCCATTATATACTTGGATATCAGCCAACGTGACGAAATTGGGTGAGTACAAGCTGTTTGACTCTTAAGAATATAAGAAAACAATACATAGGAAAAACTTTCGTGGTTCTTAGAAACCGAGATCATCAACCAACTAACTGACCCCTGTAACAGAATATGAACTAACAAAGCTTTACTAACTACGCTGAACAGGTTGTTGAATCACTATGCTAAAAGTTGAAAATCCCTTGGGATGCCAATTTTCAAAGCTTCTAGTATTCGGAAGTATAAATTAGTCTTTAAAGATAAGATAGTTAGATACAACATCAAAATGTACAGACGATGCAAAGATTGTCTAGAACTTTTAATAAGCAAGCCCAATAATGATATCGCGGTGCACAAGCGCTGACTTGTTTCCTGATCTCTGAGAAACAATTATAATGTTCGACCCTTAATTTAGTTCAAACATCAACCAATCTAACATGAGATAGTCTCATCATCCTTTTTTTTCTTTTTCCTTTTTTTGGCATCAACCTGAAGTCATACATCAGGAAAACTATAGGTTGGTTTCTAAATGCCAATGCAAGTTGTATTATCTATTCTTGCCTCAACTAAGTCAACTTAATCCCAAGCCTATTATGTAGTAGTACTCACTTGATATGGCACTACAAATCTACTTCTCAAAACGAAAATAAGCGCTATTTGTGAACGCAAACTCTTACAACGTTCTAATGGCGTGGTTGTCGTTCACTAAAAGTATTTGCACCACCACATTCATAGAAAATACGAGTTTCCGCAGTGAAGGCTGATCTTTACAAAATAATAGATAATCAATAATATAGACATTTTAATGATTTGAAGGCGTAGCTGAAGAACCGAAAGACAATTAAATCTCCGACTTTTACTAAATTCTTCTATTTGGAGCTCACCCATAATAACACCATTTGGTAGACAAGCAATTTCAACCCTAACAATATATTGACTGCATCAATTAACTACCTAATTGGCAATTGCCGCATCTCTTATTAATTTTGGTTCCTTTTAATTGGAATCGGAATTTGGAAATTGGGGTTTTGTTATTCCCAATAATAATGGTAAGGATAGAATTCAATCGCCAGAAGAATTAATAATACCTGGAATAGGCTGGTACCCATTAGCATAACAGTAGGGGGCGGAGTAAGGGGCGATGGGAGGTTGGCCGTTGCCCGCCGACGGCGGCGGAGGAACGGGCTGAGGAATTCCCGCCGGCGGCGGAGGATAATAGGATCCGGGTACTTGTTGGAACGTGCCGTAGTATTGCTGGTATTGATGGACGATCCTTCTCTCCTCTTCGCTCATCTTCGTCTTCTTGTTGAATTCTGTTAACTACATGGATGATTTTAATCCTATTTTCTTCGTATTTTTGTTGAATCCTCCTAAATGAAACTCCCAACGAAGGTGAAAATGAATTCCCATCCTCCTCTCTATAAGTGAGACTCCAATTTATATGAATTATTTATCTTAGAACAAAATGATAAAATCCCCTTGAACGTTTTGGTGAACTGTCAAGTCCCCACCCCAAAGTCATTTCTTTAATTTTCTCTATCAAGCTACTGTGTATGTGGTAAATGAGATCATTTTATGAGCCCACAGTTTAACAGACCAATAACTTTTTTTTTGCATTTTTTTTTTTTGTTTTTACAGCAATTTTGAAATTGAATTTCCAATTCCTAAAGATGGTTAACGGGTAAAATTTTATAGAGAGTTATTATTATTATTTTGTGGAAAAAAGGAGACATGTTGATAAAAATATATGAAGGAAGGAAAAAAATCCATTGTCACATCAATTAAATATTTGATTGCAGGCATACAAAAATTACCATATTGAAATCGCAAACATAGCTTGAGAGGCAAAATAGTTAAATTGATATTTTAGATGGGACGAGGGGCCTTGAAATTTCACTAATACTATAAAGATAAGTTTAGTTATTTTGTCCTCTATTTTAGTATAGCAAAGTTTCACCTATTTCGAAACATAATTGCAATCAAATATGCTACTGCTTTCTCACCTTTACATTTACGTACTTTCACTTGTTTTTGTAGCTTTTATACATCGTAAAGCTTTTAAAACTTGCATTTAAATACTCACAATTATGCAAACATGAGATTCCACGTGTCCAAAAATTTCCTTGTGACAGTCACAACTCTCTTTGTTAGGAAATCCACACGCTTAAACTTTGCACCGGCTACATTTTGCTTGGATGATACGAATATTTTCATTTCTTGTTGCAGGTTTTACTGATTTTGATATTTCTCTCCGTGCATTTTAAGAATATTTTAAAATTAAGGAGAGTTGTACGTAGAAAAACTTGCACGATATCAACCAATATTGAAGTCTGGGGCATGTAGCCAAACAGTGGGATCAAACCCTGATCTAAGAGCAAGTGCTGCAATCTCCTAGTAGGGAGCTCTTGTTGGAGTGCTCTCAAGCATGGGGCCCACTTAGGAGCTTCCTAATAGGAGAAATATTCCAACAAACTCCCAATTAGGATCATAAATATTATTTAAAAATCAATTCTTCTACCTCTAACATTTTATAAATATATTTTAAAATAATAAATCTAATAAAAAATAATTTTTAGTGAACCCCCACCCCTTAGGACCTCCCAAGTGCTCCACAAATTTGTGGAGCTCTTAGGAGCTCCATGATGGACCCCACCGCCAACTAGGACTTAGGAGTTTTGTTGGGAGCTTGTTGGAACATGTTTAGAGTTTTTCCTTACCACATCACCCTTACGCCTCGTTTGGTACGCGGGAATGGACAAACTTGGGAATGGAATGGAAGAAGGAATGGAATGGATTGCATGTGGGAATGGAATGGTCATTCTCATTCTCTTGTTTGGGTGCGTTCGTAGAATGAAGCTAGAATGGAAATCTCATTCTCATTCCCATGTTTGGTATCACTAGTACACAAGTGAGAATGAAATCTTATTTTCTAATAATGCCCTTACAACAACATAGATTTTTAATAAGATAAAAAATAAACATTAATGATAATAACTAAATAATTTTATATACGCATATGTTATATTAATCTAGGTATGTGTTATACTAATGCTCGTGTTATCCATCAGGTGTATGTTTCGTTTATATTTTTTAAACAATACTCGCTATTTCTTAGTCTTAAAAATTAAAGAAAAATAAAAAAAAAGATTATCGTATCTTTCATAGGTCCAAAAAAAAGAATGATATCCACAATCCACAGTTCTAGATATATAAATTAACTTATTTGATAAAGTATCAAAATCACTCAATTCATAATAGCAAAAATCCATAAAACAATACCAACTAAAATAATATGTTTCGAAATAGCAAAATGATATACTAGCCTAAATTGTCAATCTAAAATTGTCCACTTGCATAGCGCCTCACCCAAACATTCTTTATTATTAATATGGATATAATTGAAAAATACCTAACTAGTTTTTTATTCTCATTTGAATGGGAATGACCATTCCTTATCTTCTCACTTGGAATGCTCATTCCCACAAATAGTGGGAATGATCATTCCTAGAGAATGGTCATTCCAACATCTAAAATATAGGTGTGTTTGGTATGAGGGAATGGGAAGTGGGAATTGCATTCCATTCCTCCAAATTCCCGCGTACCAAACGAGGCGTTAGGAGCTTCCTTGGGAGGCTGATGCACTTGCTCTAAGATCCGAATGATCTACACAAACCACAGACCATATCAGGAGGCACATCAACCAATATGCCACGTCCACCCGAGCTCTCCTACTTGCATACTAAACAGGGAGTTGACGTAATGCAGAGAAACATATTGTCTCGTACCGTTGTACCTACCTACAGTCTCATAGAACGTTTCTTCTCCCCCTCTATAATTATAGGAGAGCTGTTGGGTTCGATTAATCCAACGAACCCAAGTGACCCAACCTACTCGATTTTGGATTTGATTTAAAGTTGCTATCGATTCAAGTTAGGATCAGGATACTAACCACATGGTCTGGTTAGACAGTTTCATGCTTATCAAGTTGGGTGGTTATCTTGAATATCTAAAGGATAGGATCAACCGGAGTGTAATCCCACGGTTGTGATTAAACCATGATGGGTAGGGTTAATCATAAATATCTATTTAAAGAGTGGGAGTCCCTCCTCTCAACCGTATGCAGAAAAGAGACCTAATTCCCATCATTGGCTACGGGAGGAGAGAGGAGAAGACTTCCATTATTTTCATCGGTGAACGGTAATTAATTTATATTTCTAGTTCAATTATTCATGTCTAGATCGTTAAATTATCCAACAGTGGTATCAGAGCCTGTTTGTGCATGAATTTTTTGATCTAGAATTAAAGTTTTTATTTTCGGATTTATTAAAAAAAAGAGGATCTACGGTTGCATCCAGTGCTTATGTTTGCATCTGCGTTTTTGTTTGCCGTCAAACGCTAGAAATAGATCAACGTTAAAAAAAAAAAGGGATTCAGCGTGTTTTCTTACGATTGATTACTTGTTTAATTCAATCTTATCTCCGAAGAACTCACGGCCACAGCAAAGTTAAATAAATAAAAAAAATAAGGGCCATCTTTGAGTTCACAATTTTTTTTTTAATGCCGCATCAACCATGGCTGCTCCTCGCCATGCCACGCCCTCTATGCACGCGCCCTCTCTCTCTCTGCGGATTCGGTGCTCAGCGGTGAGCGGCGGCCAGTGGCGGGGTTGCGGCAGGTGGCGGGGTTGCGGCCGACGGCGGAGGGTCGGTTCTGTGGGAGATTGGGTGCTGGCGGCGGCTCTTGGGTTGGGTGAGTTTATGGTTAGGGTTTAATTAAGGTTATAATTAATTAATTAATTCAGACCCAACCCATTATGAAATGGGTCAGACCCATTAATTTTTCAGACCCGACCCATTACAGTTTTGACCATTCATTTTGTTTTGGTCGCTACAGGTCCGTTTTAAGTCCGATTTGAGCCCATAAATAGTCGTTGGAAAGATTATTTTGTGTTCTTTTCAACTATACAGTTTTTATTTTAATTTTATAAAGTTTTAATACAGAAATTTGGACAATTCATAAAGATTTTTGTATGCACATAAAGATAATTGATTTACTCTGATTATATCCTTAATTCAGGTGGGGGTAAATATTTGGGTTCATGATAAAACGGACTACAGTATTAGATCAACCTATGGGGTTAAGGAAGATCAGTAAAACAGTCACTTAGAAATTATGGTAGAGTAGGTTAGTGTCTTGCCCAAAGGTGACCAACCTATAATACCCTAATTTTCTAAGGTTGAGTTTACTCTCATTTGGACTGGAAGGTTGCACTTATCTGTGGGTGGACTACTAGTCTTGCCCAAAGGTGTCTAGGAAATCCCCTACAGGATAAGTGGTGCAGGATAGTTGAAACATGTCAGTGAGAGGAGAATAACCCTATTGCCCAAAGGTTAGGAAGTGTTCAAATCAAACTGACACTGTGTAGGCTAGTTCTGTAGGTGATTATATATCACATTTGGGGGGCGAATAGCATGTCAAATCACTTGCCCAAAGGTGTGATGAGATCCCCCCCCCGCCTGTCCCGCAGAGTGGAAGGTTGCATACGTAAAACACTCTGACCCATCCATTCTAACCCTAAATTGGATGTGGAAATATTAAAGTTAATTAAATTAAAGGTCTCATTTGATTTATATGTCCATGGTTTAATACAGATGGACGGACAGTTTATCCAGAAGCGGAATGAGGAATCCGTTAGAGCGAGACAGTACAGTACAGTTTGTAGGGATTTAGTTCATGTTTGTTGTGAAACAAATTTAGTTGATGTTCCTTCAAATTCTTGGTGGATTGATTCTGGTGCCTCTGTGCACATTTCAACTTCATCACATGGAATAATCCACAGTCGGAAGGCAAGGGCAAATGAGCAGCTATTTTTGGGAAACTCACAGCCTATGAAGGTGGAGCTCGTTGGGACTTTCAGTCTGCGCTTGGATTCTGGAGTTTCCTTAGTTTTATCAAACACTTTCTACGTACCTTCTATGAGAAGGAATCTTATTTCAGTTTCTAGACTTTCTGGATCTGGTTATAGCTTTGTTTTCGAGAATAATTCTGTCTCTATCAGAAATGGTTTGGATGTCATCGGACATGGTTTCTTGATTGACGGTCTTTATAGATTAAATCTGGATGCATCTTTTCCTTCCCCTCTATGTATGTCTGTGAATTCATCTTCTTCTGGTACAAAGCGTCCTAGGCTTAATAGCAATTCTTCCATACTTTGGCATCGGAGATTGGGACATGCTTCAAGAAAGCGATTGGAATCCTTAGTAAAGTTTGGTGTTCTTGAACAGCTAGATTTCTCTGATTTTGGTACATGTGTTGACTGTATCAAGGGAAAGATGACTAAATTGAGAAAATTTGAAGCCTCCAGGAGTGAAGGTCTCCTTGACCTCATTCATACAGATATTTGTGGACCTTTTCCCACTCCCTCTCATGGTGGTCAGCGATACTTTATCTCTTTCATAGATGATTTTTCGCGCTATGCC